AACCGGTCCCGGGATTCCCCTCGGTCGATCCAGCCTCAAATGAGTACCTGTGTAAACATCGCAACTAGGGAGACAAAGGCGGCCGGGCGTGGTGTTGGCCAACCACCCACTCGTGTGCCGTTGCCGGCCTTCGCTAACAGCACTTGCTCCAACAGTCTGTTAAGGCTATACGGGGGATCTTTGTCTTTGTATGACCATTGATGTGTGACCACACAGCCTGGTACAAGAGGGCTCCCGTCGCGAATGTTGTAGGTGTGCAGAGGGGAGTGAGCGTGAATGGGTTTGAGAGGCACCGAGAATCCGATTTTGTCAGATCCTGGAAGCCCGATTCATACTTCTGAAGTTGCCCCAGTAAACATGATGGAACGTTGGCATGTTTACAGAGAAGCCACGCAATTTGCTACGTGTGTACCCTCAGCAACTTCAGCCATTCCCACCCTTGTCCAAGCGCGTCCCCCGTTCTGATCCTGTGTTACTGTGCAGTAAACCTTCTACTTTCACCCAGCAGCAATGATGATCATCACGCAGTCTATTACAGAAGTCGCAAACGGGTTTTGATTCCTTACCCGTACCCGGCCGCACCAGGGTCGCAAACTGGTACCCGTACCCGGCCAGGTATCGGGTCGGGTACACGGGTATCGGGTACCTGATTGCGACCTCTGAGATGAAGCCATGTTGCAGGCGCGGGTGGGTTGATTCTAGGAACTTGAATTGTGAGAAGAGACAAGACGTTGGGAAATGAGTGACAAACGGTTACTCACCAGTGACTCACGGCCTACCCGTACCAGGGTCGCAAACGGGTACCCGTACCCGGCCGGGCACGGGTAGGGTACGGGTATCGGGTACCCGGTTGCGACCTCTGGTCTGTGACGACTGGTGGGTCACCCCACAACTCCAGGTGTTGTAGACTTGAGCATGGAGACGGCCAGGAGATGGCAGCACAGCAATTGATAACACTGGTCAACGCACTTTTTCTGGCATAAGGTATTCCAACGGTTTCAAGGTATTTTTGGGGTGCTGATTCCAAATCTGGCATCAGTTTTTGTCTATCACAGAAGAAAAATATTAAATAAATGTGGATATCTATATACAATGATATTATAAACACACTATCCTAAAAATACAGCACCATATTTTAACACTAAAGCAGTCACTGACTCGCAACAACTTGCAATCATAAGTGACAGAGTTAATTTCGGGTAAAATCAATGAAAATGGGATATGCCGATAGCATAAAAATGAGATGTGATAGAGCAAATCTGAGATCAGATTTGGAATCAGCACCCTGAAATTAGTCTAAAACAGCTGCAAAAGTCCAGGCCAGAAAAAAATGATTTTTTTTGTTGACCAGTGTAATTGATCTTAATTTTGGAGCTTTCGTGACTGCAGGAATTATTCTTTGGTTTTTTCGGTAAAGTCACGTATAAAAATAAAATAATATAATTAAATAATAGCATACGACGTTTCGATTGCAACACAAGCAATCATCATCAGGTATAATGAAATAGCGACATAGAATATAACCAGAAAACTATAGACAGACATATAAGCAGACAGATATCACCAAGATACATAGAGAGAGCAACCCAGTGTAATTGAGTGTTACCACTTCCCAGCAGTTATCGAAACGCACATTGAAACCGGGGCGACCTGAGTTTGATTCCCGTGCCTCGGCTAACATCAGTTGGGACCGATGTCTGTACAAATCCGGGACTCCAAAGTGATCAAACAACTCCATCGTGGCTGTGACAATCGCGCAGCAGAGAAATGACAAAACTCTATAAATTGTAACTCTGGGGGTCCATCCCAAAGTAACCGTAAACGTGAAATGTTGGGCCAAGGTTGGTCCAACATTTCACGTTTATATGTGCCAACGTCGGAGGCAACATCTGCGTGTTGGAATGTCAAATATTAATGGAATTGTCCAAACGTCAGAACAAAAATGCTCCCGAAAATTTGTCTTGAGATATCAATGAGGAAGCACTGTTCATAAATATCGTATCGTATTATGACCGGAGTATTCGCGTAAGGAAAGGATTCTTAATTCGTAACTTGACCCTGAACCGTGATTATAAGACGCTCCAGAAATAAAAAACGTGACCCCAAACTTGTGCCCGGTGTTTAAAATAAAGTTATACTCTTGTAATATTTCACACAAACACAGCTCCCGGGTTATAAAAACTCACCCTCCAACGTACACGGCTACAAAGTGCGTCTTATAATCCGGGAAAGATTGCATATTATTAAGCCAGCGTATATGTATGTGTGTATGAGAATGAGAAAGATGTGCCAGTATGTGTGTGAATGGGATGGATGGAATGACGAGGGTGTCTGTGTACGCGCGTGTGTGTGAGAGAGAGAGAGGTGGTGTGTGTGTGTATGTCAGAGAAGAGAGAGAGAGGCAGGACATGTGTGTATGTTGCAGAGGGGTAGGGCGCTGGGTGGATGGGTGGGTGGGGGGTTGCGTGCGTGTGTGTCAGAGGGAGCGAGAGGCAGGGCTGTGTGTGTGTGTGGGTGCTGGTGGTGGTGAGGGAACATGCAGCTCCCGGCAGGAGGGTGGGGAGGGCCCAGACAGCCTGGCGCCAGCCTGCACCTGTGAAGGCTTACACTGCACGCCTGATTAAACCCAGGTGTTCAGAGCCAGGGCAGGCAGGGGGTGGCGAGGGAGGAGGGCTGGAGAGGATGTGTGGGGCGGGGGTTGAGAGAGGGGGTGACGGGGGGGCCTTGGGGGAGAGGGAAGAGAGTAAGAGGCTCATAGAATGACGCCTCCCCGGTGCATCCTGTGCTAAAGGGGTTGCAGGTTCAAGTCCGGGACAGAGTGCTTCTACTGTGGACTCCGCGAGACCACAATTATTGCTGACCGTAGGAATTTCATAAACGCAGCGTTCAAAATAACTGTGTATCAGTTTAAAAGGGACAAAAAAAATACGCGTACACGTGGCCCGCTGGCGTTATTTTCCTAGTGGCGTGTTGTCACACTTATAATCCTGGGTACTGGCTCTGTGCTATTGGAACTCATCAGGAAACCAAAGTCAGTGGCATGATTGCCAATGTTGTTGTGTTTACACCATCCTGAATATGTATGCGGAATATATTTGATATGAAGTGGCTCAATGGAAATTCTATGCCGAGGGGATTGATCATAGCTAATGATTATGATGATATTACTGCGGCCCGAACTGTATTACCCTCAGGCAGTTTAGCACAATGGCAGTGACAGTGTATATCAAAACAATAAACTTAACTGTGCATGGATCGTATGCGCAGTGACGCTAAATACACTCACATGTTGGACATTGCTAATCTGTTCGTGGTCCTGAACCGGTGGTTCAAATTCCACATTCCTATCTTAGGGCAGGGACAATTGGAAATGATTGTCTCTTGACTTATACTAAGTGGGGCACATGTGCCAGGCGGAGCTCACTCGACTACCGTAGGTGGTTTTTGATGATCGCCGATGATAATTATTATACCATGCAATGTATACTGATAATGATGACGTGTTGGTATATATCATTATGGTGTAACGATGCATCGATTCATAATTAAGCATTACGCGTGACAATTTATGTTGGAATAGCTTCACCTAACCTCTTGTGGACACGATAATCCCACATTTACCCAGTGGTTTAAAAAAATTATTTATATTAAAATCGTATCGTTTGACAATTAATTGAATCTGAACATCTGTAAAATCTCTGGAAAAAAACGTGATCGCTCATCGGATTCCTCCAGTACAAATAAATATTCTGATTGTGAATCGCGAGTGTGGGGAAGCGAATTGTCACACAGCTAACGATGGTGATGAAGTCACGCGCGTGTGTATGGATGACGATTGATGCAAGGAAGATGACAACGACGATGGTGATGAAAAACAACGCACGGATGGATCGGTGTCAAATATTTCCCACTGACGGTTGGGACACACACAGAGACCCTGCTGGATATTGAGCAGGCGTCCATGTGACGGTATTCTGTAAAGAGCTCACGGCCTATTGTATGTACAATAAAAAAACACACCCAACCCCACCAGAGCGTGCCTCATTGAAATGAGCGTGCAGGGGGCAAGATCTAGAGCTCTCCAGGAGTGAGCTTAGAATAGATGCTCACACACACACAGGGCACACTACTCACACGCGTTTACGTTCAACCTTTGTTTGGAAACGCAAGCTAAGTCTCGACTGATTAAACACTTCCGATGGAGCAACGCGCACACAAAAACCAGCGTGGGTTTTCCATTCTAACGTCCACGGGTGTAGTTTTTTCTCCACTGATTGGAGGCCCCATTAATTTAACCACGTGCCCCCCCTCCATTGAGCCGTGTGCTGTGTATTTGCAAGGCGAGCCTGCAGTATGCGTCTTTTATTTAGCCAGGTGAGAGCCCATTGATATGCAATCTTTTAAACAAGAGTGGCCTCAGCTTTGCAAGCACAAACTCCCACGATTGCCACCTGGGAATTTTTAAAACCCCGTTTGTCAAAGGACCCAGTGGCAAGATCATGCATGACTTGCCCACTGTGTACCAGTGTCAATGGCAACATCACCTCCCAACTTGCAAGCTGTACAAATAAAAAGGTTCCCACATAAACCAGTTACCCTGGCATTGCGCTCCCGCAAGAGATAGTCGCAATAGGCAGCAGCCACCTGGTTAAATAATAGGACACGGGCGTTATGTATCCACTGCCGTAGTGGCACCAACAGTACTACCCAAACACTTGAGCCGCTAGGCAACTATACGCCCAGCTTGCCGGGAATGTATTTAATACCCCTTATCTGGGTTCCGTGACGGCGCTGTTCAATAGAAATACAGCGAGGGTGAAGTGGAAAGTGTAGCTCAAAAGTGCACTGTTGCTTCCCGGAAAACCAAGTGTTGTTGTGTACGAAACGTGTGGTGGGCTTAGTCGAGGGTCAGTCTCGCCAGACGGCGGAACGAAAATGTGTCGGGGCAGATATTAAGCCATGGTGTCACTCACGGTGCAAACAACAACGCAAACAAGGGCTTTAGGAAAAAATGGTACATTTTAATATAAAATATTTTTCAACAAGGCGTGCCATATACATAAAAGGTATAGGCGAGTGTTAAAACAATGTTTTTCCAACAAGGCGAGTTTTGTCAAAGCAACATTATACACGGTCCATCATCATGGTCAGTAATGATTTATACACGTCGCCTGATACAGGATACGATAATCAAAGTGTTGCATCAAAAGGTAAAAAAAAACGTGTCATAAAGAGAGAACAGAAATAACAAATTTACAAGCGAACTTGCGTGCAGCCAAGTCCGGAACATTTTTTGTACTTTTCTGCTGACAAAATTTTACTCTGTACACAATTCCCCCCCCCCCGTTTTTTCACAGCCTCGGCCACTCTCGCAGAAATTGACCCAAACACGCACGCACTTTGCATTGCCATTGGTCTAACAAAAAATATAAACTTTATATATTATATACATATTACACACAAGCAGCCACAGTTGTTAACGCAAACTGCCAGCAATCTTTTTTTTTTACAAAACAGTGCTCGATTGCAGCTGTACCCCACACCTCTTAAACAGGTGTTGAACCGATCTGAAGCTGCCACATTGGTGGTGGTAAGAGGCTCAGGACTTTTGAGCCGCAAACAAGCACTGTTAAGACATTGGTCCACGAAATACCCTCTAACAGTTGTGCAGCACTGCCTTGTTGAGTGTACGTGCGTACGTACGGCAACTAACTTCCTCTCCCGTCAGTAAAGTGTCTCTCAGTACTGCACTTGCAGCAATCGCCAAACCTATACAACTTTTAACAGCAAACAAAACCATTAGTCCCCAACTCCAATTGCTCCCGTTTACATTTTCACCAGGTCCAGACGGTGTGCAAATGTGTTTAATGCACTTGTTTGGCGAAAATGTTGAAGTGTGCATCATTATCATGCATGCCAGCAGGCCCATGTGGGGCCGGGCTCTAGAGTTTGGGGGAAATGCTGCATCACTGAAAAATTGTTCTGTTTTTTTTTCTTTTCGGAAATTGTGAAAATGTAAAAGTCCAAGCAGCTGCATTTTACAAAACACCAACCACAACTTGGAAAATCGACATTAGGTTTTAAAACGCTAAGGAATAAAAAAAAAAACACTAGACATTGTTTCTTTTAGTTGTTTAAATTACTTGCTAAAAATATAAAGCGGTGTAAAAAACAACAAGCTAAGGAATGACTGAGATCCGTTGGTTTCGAAACATTCGTCTGCTTGCGGCACTCTCCGCGTGCTTGTGGCGACTCTTCTTGGGGACGTGGAGTCAAACTTCCTTTTTTCTCCCAAGTCGGCGCACGCCCCCCCCCCGCTCGTTCCAAGGGGGAGGACGAGAGAAGGAATGCTGTGGAGAGGGGCACAAACAAGAGTGGCGCGGTTAGAAGCGGCTCATTATCCTGGGTTAAGAGGTGCTGTGTGTGTGTGTGGAAAGGAGGGAGGGGTCCGGGTGGCCTTGCCAGGCGGGGAGCAGACAGCCTGGCGCCTGTCAGGAAATAACTGTGGACATTCCCCCCCACAAGAGACGCCTCCCCCTACAGCCCCTGGATGCACACAGCTGCAGCTCCCTCCCCTCCCAACACACACACACATCGAATCCCTCCCACCCTCGAAACACACACAACCCAAATCTTCCCTCCCCCTGCACACACCCACCCAACCCACCCACCCCCCTTCCACCCTCTTCTCAGCATTCAAAACAGCCAACAGGCAGCCAGCTCATGCTCTGGGTATTGCACAAGTTACTCGTTTTGTTTTTGCTTCGCAACCAGTGAAAAGGAGAGCAAGAAATCGCAAAACACTGCGTGCCCCCCACCCACCCCACCCCATCATGTGATTTTAAATGTCAGAGGCCCACTCTTTTAGGATTTTGGTGATGCTGTTCTTGTTTTCAGCACCCCCCCCCCTCCACCGCCCCATTGCCAATGAATGCTGGATCCAAATGGTTTGAGTTATAGATGCGGACTGAACTGGCTGATAAACAAAACTGAATTAAAAATTGATGGGTTAAACTGCCATGCCGCTTACCAAAATCTCGCGAATCTCAGCAGCAGAGAGTTTCGTTGTTTCCGGTCAAGCTTGCCATGTCTGCGCACACCTGGAAAGAGAAACGGTGGAAAGAACATCGTCAATTACACATCGCCACAGCTTCACAAAGTTAGCTGTCGGTTCTCGTACCCACCGTACCACCACCCCCCCCCCTTTCACTTGTCATCACTACCACAGATCACTCAATTCCGTGTCACTTTGACCCGTAAACATTAACGCTGTTTAAAATACCAAGGTGTGAACATTCTCTAAGTTGGCGTGGTGCGTGGGTGGGGAGCTTTTAAAATAACCCCTCGAATGAGAATGTGGCCAAAACTGAAGAATTGTAATCATGGACGAGTTATATTGCAACTCTTGCCCTGCATCTCGCCGAATAGCTACGGCACACATGGCCCATTCTATAAAAGTCAATCTCTTCCAGAGCTACGTGACCGCTCTAAGTGGCAATTTCAGCAGCCCCAGGTGTTTGATAACCCACTTGGGCAAATTCGGCGTTTTATCAATGAGCCTAATACTACACTCATGACCCAAATGTCTCCTTCACCATGGTGACATTAGGATTATTCACCTCCCTTCAGGAAGTGAACGACCAATAGATATGTTGAGTATACCAACTTTCGAAATGGCTTTCTTCCAGGCAATTTAAGTGTAGAGACTAAATCTTTCCCAGTGCTCATTACGCAAATCATTACTGACCTGGCTTGCCACACTTGGACCGAATAATCGTGCCAAAAAGCCTCTCGACTCGTGCTCACCAGAGCGACACCCCCCAGGCCACCCTCACAGTCTGCCCCCATCACCTGGCCCATCACCTGGCCCCATCACCTGGCCCCATCACCTGGCCCCATCACCTGGCCCCATCACCTGGCCCATCACCTGGCCCATCACCTGGCCACCCGTGTCACTGCGTACCTGCTGTGCGTCACCCGGCGCTCCCTCCTCCACAGGGCCCTCGTCCAGTGCCACCTGGAGGTCCAGGATGTAGTCGATCACGTGCTGCAGGATCTCCATGCGACTCGCCTTGCGCCCCGTGGTCGCCAGCGTGGGCACCAGCTGACTGAGCCGGCTGTAGCAGCCCTTCATGTCGTACAGCAGACGCTCCTCGGCCAGCCGATGGACGGCGGCGGCGGCTTCGGCCGACTGACGGTGCACGGAGCGGACGGGACTCACGGCCTTCATGGCTGTGATGTTAACAAGAGGTGGTTGTCGGTGGTGGTGGCGGTAGTTGTTGTTGTCGGCTCAACGAACGACAACACAAACACGTGCGGCGAACAGGGACAACCTCTTGCTGCTCTCTCGCTAAGCGCGGTCAAGTGACAGGTGACGATGTCTCGCGTTGCCCCCGCGCACGCTCCTTTTATACTCGAGCTCGCGGTCCCCGCTGTCCAATGGGAGAGCCCGAGCCGCGCAGAGGGCGGGGCCGCGGCGCGAGAGCGCGGCTCTGATTGGCTGAGGGCCCTGCACGGGGCGGGGGGGGGGAGTTGGTGGAATGTCCCACTGGGGGTTCTGTCATTGTGAGTGTGTGTGTAAAGGGTGCGTGTGTGTGTGTCTGTAAGGAGTGTGTGTGTGTGTGTACGGAGTCTGTGTGTGTCGGGGGGGGGGGTGACGGAATGCACTGGAGCGAATACCAGCGCTTATTGTCGCTTCCCAGTGAATGATGTCGCCTCCAGCAAATACCCACATACGCACACCTACAATTACATTACATACACCGATTCACTACTGTATACGTATGCATTACACACGACGGTATACGCAGTGTACATGCATTCATTACCACCCGCATCACAACATATGCACACGTGAATGTATAACACACCGACATCACATAGCACTAAGTGGCAGTGACGTCACAACGTCGCTTGTGCCAGGTTAGGTGCATCTAAATTCTGATTCTATACACGTGCATTAGACGATGTGTGTAGACACACATTAATTTCGCACGTACCTGAATCATCACATACACTGCTGTTTATGCATTACTCTGTGCACCGATGTGACATTTTGTATCGAAAATATTATGTTCACATTTTATTTTCAAATTGAACATAGAATATACAGTATGTAACATATACCGTGTACTTGGGCGTACATCTCCTGGAGGTAAACCCCCAACAGGTCAAAATTTCATTGGTGATGTTTGAAATATTAATTTAACGTTCAATAAGAGACAGCATCCTGCAGCATGTGTTGATGTTGCGAGTTATACATACCTCATGGCAACATGCACTTTGTCTCCAGTTTAGTAAATTATATTTTTAGGTTATTTAAAAAAAAGCATTAATTTGCAAGATATTAAAAAAAATTCCGCTTAAATGAAAATTCATTTTGGCACTTTGGCTGAAAACATTTATTTGTTTTGGTTATTTGTATCAACACCAGTATACGGCAGTCACTGGAGTATTTAACAAGACACGGTTGGCTACGTACGGTGCCAAAGAAGTTATACATACATGCCACATCTCGAGTTTTCATTTAAATAGTCTAGATTTGGTTATATTCTTGAATATATAAAGAGGACTGAAAATTGTTTTTATCATCATTAATCGTCTATCCACTGCTGGATAAAGGGCCTCACTATCCAGCTCAGCTACCATTCATCTCATCGCTCCACCATTTATCTGCCATTCTGTCGGTCTTGTCCACAAACCATTTTTTATCCCATCAAACCTTCAAATTAAAAGCTCATTTGTGCTCTCAAATTAGGTTTAATATTTTATTTGTAGAAAGCATGTCCATTTACAGCACTTTGTATTTTTTTTTAAAAAAAATCCACCCAAGTTTTCCAGTCAAATATTTCCACACACACAGAGACGCACACACAGTTACCTATATTTTAACACACAACCAACATTCAACACATTTTCACAAACACGCTCGCTCAACCGTAGTATGGGTATTATACTCGTGGCTAAGACACCACGCAATGTCCCCTATTCTTCTCGGTTATTATGAGGTGTAGTTTTGTTCCCCCTTTGCTTCATCTGGCTTTTTGGGGTTCTTACAGTGGTAGCTTGTGTTTGGCTCTGGGAGGGGCGTGCAGGTGCCTCTCTCTCCCAAGCCCCATTTATCGGTGCAGCTGTGTTTGTCTTGGGACCAAGACAAACGCGCAAAGGGGGCCCCTATGCACTCAGCAACCACCAACAACCTCATCCATACGCAACACAATATAATATTATGCACACACTCATAACACAGAGGCAGGTGAGAGTGTTGTGAGAACGAGATGTCTCCTAACGCCAAAGCTCCGTTTCCAGCATCTGTATGTCAATAAGCCTGTCCACAGATGTGCCCTTGCTCAAAGGTGCAACCCTACAATGTCCTGCTCACGCCAATGCTGGAGGAAGAGCCTCCGCTAGTGAGAGCTCGAGAGAACCTTGGTTTGGGAGTATTTTTGGCCTACTCTTCCACACTGGGCAAGACGTATTTGACGTGGTGGGAGTTCCCACACTTTACCTCGCCCTACACAACCTGCCGATCGACGAATTTTGGTGTACACATTTATTTCGACTGGTCGGACAGAGGCGGGGTGATTGAATAAACTTCCCATTTGCTTCAACTGCCGCGCCTGGAGATTGAACTGGCATGACCTCTCGATGGAAATTGACCTCTGGATAGAAATTCCTGTCAACTAACAATGACAGCACGGCAGCATCTCTTTAAAAAAAATCAATGGATTCGAAACGTGTCTGCATGGTTTCTCCCCCTGTTTTAGATTTGACATGACCCTGTAGTTAACTGCAGGCTCTCCAGATATTCATTGCCAAAGTGGATATCGTATCTAAGTGAGCAGCCTCCACGCAAATATCTGAGATATGAAAATGAATTTCATCCTGACAAGTGGAGACTAAGCTGACCGCATGGCTGTACGCATGCTGTGTGTGTGCGTTGACTGTTGAGGTTTTTTTCTCAAACAAACGAATGATTGAATTAAAATAACAGTCATTTTATATATAGAAAACGTGTGGCCGTGTTGATGGAATTTCGTCACATTCCGATACAGGCAGCAGAAGAGAGGACCGTGTGTTTGGACAAAAAGGCACCCATCACGGATGGAATATTTAACATCAACTCTTGAGAAGAAAAATAAAGATTCCGTAAACACATCGAGTGGTCTTAACTTTCGTGTGTCGGCATGGATACACCACAAGGCCGTTCTACTAAGTTAGCAAGCTTTGTGCGCGACTTCATAGCATTAGCCAAACACCCACATGCATTCAAATGAATGGGTCTTTACATGAACTCCTTTCAATTCGATGGGGCCAGGAATTGACATGACGCACATCAACACACTGGCATTTTAAAGGATGTGAATAATGAAAACCGGTTTCATTCATTAATCGTTTCCGGTAACAGACCAAAAAGTGTTGTCACTTGGAAGCCACGTCTAATATGGTGTGTTGCTGTACACACAGATTTCATTTGGCGAAGAACAAACATGCTATCTTATTCAGACCATGTCTTTCCGACAGACCTGTTCTTCACCTGAGGACGGCTGCTTGCGTTGTGGCCGAAACGTCGTGAGAATTATTTTATGTTTTATTTATTATTATTTTATTATTTCCCTTCTACGTGACTTTACCAAAAGAACCAAGAAGATGAATCTCTGCAGTCACGAAAGCTTTAAATGCTATGTTATATTTGCTGATTGGCCGTGTCGGGTGGTGGAGGGTTACGACACATTTATAAATAACGCTATGCTTTTTCCACAGACATTATTTGCCTATAATATAGACAGTTCACCAGCAATGACTGACTCTGCTGGTGATGAGACACCGTCATCCTGTAATGTCGAAACCGGTCCACAGTTTTGCTGATCCCCAGAATAATGTACAATAGGGCATTTCACCCATTGTGGCTCATACTTATGCATCGTGTGTGTAATGCTACACACACACCTATACATAGCGCATATATCATGCATAGTGTGTATACAATGCATTGCCATACATCTCAGAACACTGTAATGCGTGCATAATGAATTGTTTGGCTAAGCGAACCGCGTGCTATCGCATTGAGACTCCATGGGCCGCACGCCGCACATAGTAGCCCCGCCCCTCCATCCCCCCTCCCCCTCAAATCCCCCCGCCCCCCTCCGGTTCCCCCCCCATGCCCCCCTCCCCCCCGCGATTGCCGCAGACTCCGTGGCGCCACCTCGTGACGTCACCGCCCCAGCTGGCGCCGCCGCGGCGGCTGCCGTGGCAACCGATCGACCAATGGCAGGCGGCGGCAGTGGGAAGTTGCGGGGGGGGGGGGACGCGGCGGCCAATGGGATGCGGCGGTGAATGCGCGCGCGGCTGATGAATGGGCGCACCTGTGGAGCCCCCCCCATCACCGTCACCCCTCCCCTCACCCCCCACACCCCTCCCCCCACTCCCCCCCCACTCCAACCCACCCACGTGGCTGGGAGGCCAGCCCTGGCCACTAACGCCGCACTAACACTAAACACAACAGCAGCAGCAGCAATGCACAGCGTTACGCAGACTTGTGACCCCAACACTTGAACACGCGTGGCTGTACGAATACGGTGCAAGTGGCTCATGGAAGTTTATTTCATATACGGCCACATGTAGCACGCATAGCCCCATGCACACTTGTACAGAAGCTTGCACGATGCATAGTAATACGCATAGGTGTGTAACGCATAGGTATTACGCATATCCGTATCTTCATATAGTGCCCGGCTACATACTGTGAACACCGAGCTACATTCAGCTGCATACACATAGCTACACGTCCACAGATGTACACACACGCCTACACGTGGGTACTGTAGTACTATAGTTGATGTGCATACACATACACAGCTGCATACACATTGCTACGTACACATAGCTTCACAGTATATGCATTTACGCATTGCTACGTAATGTACACACAGCTACATACACAGGGTAACCTACATATTGTTGAGTACGTGCACAGCTGCATTCAAACTATACACAAACTGCATTATATACACATACACGTCACTACACAAGCACATCGTTCACACGCAATGAACTACATATGCATAACTACACAACGTGCACAAAGCTACAACTAAATGTACGCACAGTGCTAAACACATTCACACGCATAGCTATAAACAACGTAAGCCGCATAAGCCAAATGTATTCGCACAACACACAAGGACAGATAACCGGCCCTCCCAATGATGTACACACACACACACACAAGGACCCAGGCCTTGCCTTAAACCCAAAATGTGGGAAAATAATGTTTTTTTGTTGAAAGTCTTTGTAAAGCAAATTTTTCTTCTCCCCTCCTTTTTAGCTTTTCAGAAGGGGCATGTGGGAGACTTTTGATTCCTTTATTGA